AAGTAACGAAAGCCAATCAAAACTGTCATATAATATTGGCTTGAATTTATTTCCTAAAGTACGGTTGAACCTCTCAACAAAGAAAGCTTTATTTTTTGTTCCAGTACTATAAAGATTGATATTGTACTTATTTAAAACGATCCTCATATCTTTATTATAAAACTCTTTTCCTCTATCAGCATGTAAATTTTTCGGTGGATTGTGTTTATCTTTAATCGCTTGTTGTATGATTTTTAAAAACGCATTAGCTACTTCTAATCCTGATTTAGTTTTTAAAGGTTCTACCCATACAAATTTAGAAAAGGTGTCTTCAGCAACTAGAATATAGATAAATCCCTTATTGATCTTTTTAAATTTATTAAACTCATTTGACTCCTTTGACTTTAAGTTTTTTGTTCTTAAAGTATAGCTTGGATCTACTGATTTTCCTTTTGGTCTATAAAAAACATAAATATCTATTTGCCAAGTATCATCAATACCTCTGTGTTGAAAGCGACGTGTTGGATATTTTTTTCTAGCGGGTTTAAATAATTCAAAAATTAAAATATCTTTAGGTGATTTAGAAATATTATTTTTTACTGATTGACAAATTCTGCAAGTTGATATTCTTCTCCAGCGTTTATATTTTACAATAAATTCTGGTTCTCCAGTGGATTTAGTTTTTGTTTTGCATATTTTACAATAATCCATTTACTGTATAACAAACAGTAGAGATACCATTTTTATTTAAATTCACTTTTTGTAAATAATTATAAAGAAAACTTGACTAACATATAAAAAAAATTGGAATACTTAATAGATAAGGTTTATTATGGTTATAACCACCTAGATTTTCATCTGTGTTTACCTTTTCTTTTTTTATTCTAAAAGATAAAAGATCAGATTCTCTAACAATAAACGGTTTTGAAAGATCTATTGTTCCTTTATTAGTACTAATATCCAAATCTTTCAAATTAGCCGTTGAGTAGAATTTTATAACTTCCACATACATTGGTATTCTAATAAATACTTCACCATCAAAATAAATGTCAAGCAAAGTAACAGCCTTTTGCCCATGAACTTCTTTAACAAAACGAATTTTTCCTACAAATTGTAAAAATGAATAATGAGTTTTTTTCATGAATTCAGTTTCCAACTTAATTAACCTTTCTCCGTAAATATCTAGTTGTCCTTTATTGACAACATCATATTTATGAATTGCATCAGCAGTTTTAACTAATCTTCTATTACCAATATCGATATATCTTTTTGTAGCAGTTAGATTCGCCGAATCTTTTTTGATCATATTACTGAGTTCAGGTTTAACGATTTTTAAAATACTTTGAGAATCATCTTTTTTTATCGTATTACTGAGTTCAGGTTTAACGATTTTTAAAATACTTTGCGAATCATCTTTTTTAATCATATTACTGAGTTCCGGCTTAACAATTTTTAAAACGCTTTCTGAATCATCTTTTTTAATCATATTACTGAGTTCAGGTTTAACAATTTTTAAAACGGTTTCTGAATCATCTTTTTTGATCATATTATCATTGACTGACACTAAATATTGTAAATTAACAGCATCACCAGGATTTTCTGGTTGTTTTACATTAACTAATTTGTGTCCTGCGATATCATAATCGCCATTTTCTGTTAGGTTAAACCCTATACGTACCAGGTGGTCCTCTTGTTGATTTTCCACCTTTTTTTCTATTTTTTCTAAGAACGTATTCAGATGTCATTTATGGGCGTAAAATTCTTTCTATATTTCATTTCAGGAGTTTTGAAATCTATAGTTAAGCAATCAAAATTTTTAATGTTATTTTCATAATATTTCCTGAGTTTCTTATCCAACCCTTTTTCTCTAAATATTAAGCTTATATCATTACCATCACATGATGGAAATATTGAAAGATAATTACATTGTAAACGAATTGATTTTGGCACTCTATACCAATCCTGCGTTATATAAATCATTGAAGCATTCATTTTTCTTCCGCGTATAGCTAAATCTATCAGTTTCTTTTGATCTTTTTCCGTTACGAAATCATCAACAACAATCAAGTTTTGTTTATCTCTATCCAGTTCGTCTACATCGACTATGTCTTCTATATCTGATGAAAAGTACGATTCAATTATCGGTTTTTCATGAGGTTCTTTAGGCCGAATTTTTTCATCATCAAACACATTTTGTAATAACTGATAATAAGGTTCTTCTAAATCTTTCGCATACAGATAAAAAGTATCAAAAAATAAATATTTTAAAATATTGACAACAGTATTTGTTTTACCAGAACCGCTTCGTCCTATAATTATTAATATAAAAGGCCATTTTGGCGCTAATTTATTAATGAAACAAAAATTAACAAATAAACAAACAAACAAATAAACAAATCCAAAAATTCAAAAAAAATTTGAAGGGTCTTGATCGTGTTACAAACTTTCTTCAAGAAGTTCATCAATCTTCAGATAGTAATGAAATTGACCTTCAAATTATGCGAATAAAAGTAAGAATCAGTAAATTACAAGATAACAAAATAAAGCCTTTGAAAAAACGTACAAGACAATTAATTGAAAAAATAA